GCGATTTAAAAGAGAGAGATCGAAACTTGGACTAACTGACCCCAGAATCGGAACGATCGCCAATGCAAAGATCGTTGAGTAACACAGGGAATGGTGTGAATCGGGCTTTAATCGACGCGCACGCGCACGGATTCCAGATCGATGTCGTGGCTACCGTCGACTTCTGTTTTCTGACCTACGGCGAAATCGAAATTACCTATTATTACCTATTTGTTCTACTTACTTCGTTAACGCGAGATTACACACTGCGCCCCGTAAATCTTCCTTCGACGCTGAATCTCGCGATCCGCGGCTGCGCTACATATACCGATCACAGTAAACGCAAAATATTTCAACCACATAGCGTTTCAGTTGCACGTACAGCGTAAGTAAAGTTATTGCCATTGTACCCTATTTTCGTAGAGAAAATTTCCTAAGGACGTGTTCGACATCTTGGGTAAGGAAACTGCCTGGAATTCGAATTGAAGGTTCGAATTCATCCAGTATACGACTATTCTGCACACTACTCTAAGTTTACGGTAACAACTATGCAAAGCAATGCTACTTAAATCGATCCTATTTTCTATCAAACGTCCTATCAAAACCTCCAATTCTGGGCCCATGAAGGCCAATGACACCTGTCCGTGGCCAAACTGCTAATTATCGAAAAGACTGATCATCCACCCTCTCCATTAAACGTGAAACGATTCACGCTAACGTAGAAATTAGAAACGGATGAAATACGGATCGTTAAAGTTGGAGGCGTTTACTTCCACTAGGCAGCGGCATTCGATATCATTCGAAGCGGCGCGGCGGCTTTCGCGCGATAGTTTGTTGCGCGAACGCAATCGACGAGACCAAGTCCGCGGACTTATTTAATTAAGTTCGCTTACGTGATGCCGACTCCGAGCGAGAATTTCGCGCCGGTTCGACGGAAAGCACGCAATTGCTCCCTTCCTGAACGAGAAAAACGACCCTGCGCGGAGATCTAATCAGTGTCTTTAAGTTCAAAACGATCCATGCTAAATGGGGTTTATGGGACTACTTGTAGATTACGGACGATTGCTGGTCGTTGAACGAGGAAAAATACGAAATGGAAGGGAATTGATTACCAGTTGGCAATTGGAAGTGCTTGGATGGCTAACCTCTTTGAAAGTTGTGCACATTGTTGGGGAGGATTTGGATCGTAGATAGCGTGCAACAATCTGTACACTTGAGTGGATTGATACCTGGTGTGGTTAGATTATCTGCGTCTTAGATTCTCTTTATGAGGGTTAAAGCTACTCTCTGTATACGTTTGAGGTATTAAGATCGAGTCAAAGGTATTAGATCTGGAGCCATGTGTCAAACTCTGTATGAACTGGAGTTGATAATACAATGAACGAGAGAATGAGAATTGGTAATCCGTGAAAACGATAGTTAATAATACATTATATCTAAGCCCTGTATGAAGTAATAGCCCTAAACCTAACTTAGGTAGTCCACCTGTGAGGATATCCTCACTCCTAGACACCTCAGTCACAATTTAACGCGTCGACAGCCTTATTTCTTCAAAATCCAATCAATCAAAGCCTCGACCAAGGTTAATATTTGCAAACCACGATGCTATATCGTCATCTTCCCAAGAAATCGTCTACGGAACGCCTTGACTCCCGGGTCAACGTCGATGTATCATCCGAAATATTTGACGAGACTTCCTGCTCGCGTCAGCCACGATTTGCATGCCAGTGCCCCGAAGGGACGTTCGTCTTTCACGAAGTTTGGGCAACATCCAACATCGTATTTAGAGATGCTGTAACGCTCCGGAGAACTGCATTACGACACGTTGCGCAATGTTTGCTAAACATCCGTAAACAAACTCGTGGAGGACTCTCGAGAACTTTGCAACGCGATCACAGCAATATCTGCGTTACTCGGCGCTATTCCGAAGGCAAACCAAGGACTCTCAAGTTTGACCTACCCCGTTATTCAAATAGTGGGTTGTCCAGAAAGTTCGTGCTAATTTTTAAGAAAAATTCAAAGGCACATTTGAATTTTGATATATATTTATTGAATTATGTAAATACCATTTTGTTCCACGACCTTTCTACCTTTTAAGGGCTGCACCCATGTTAATTGTTTTTAACCATTTCAATATAAACAGACGTGTACCATCTACCAAAAATCGGCACGGACTTTCCAGACAAATTAATGAATAAATAAAAGAATTGTTTTATGTACTTTGAGAGTACACTTATTAAGCCCAACACGTTTCATATCGATATCCATAACAATAAATTCTTAAAAAAATGTACAAGAACAGGCTTTTCTTGAGCATCTTAACCAGAATGATCCCTTAAATGCCCCAGCAGCTAATTAGACGCTTCCAGCCTGACGATCGTCCTCCAGAAAAGAAGGAAGAAAAACCTGCGGATTAATTTCCAAACGATTCAATTAATTTCCCCGTAACGATGACAAGCTCGTTCGCCAATTGGCAAATGATTCGCAATTACACCATTCTGAACTCGACGATAATAAAATGGAGGGCGCGACGACAAGTAGCGACGCCTTAGATGCGAAAAGTAACATGTGAGACGATCAGGTAGGGCTCCGGCAAGTTGTCGACGTTGCAAGAAATCTAATTATGATTGGCCACGCTCCGGTTGGAATATAATAATACCCGACCGACAGATACAGTAAACATAATTTCACGCTCGCACGGTGAAAGTAATTTGGCGCTCAATGAAAGATGAAATTTCAATTGCGGCTAATTGCGCGACCGTGCCACCAACGGGACACCGTTCTTCCTGTTCGCGTGAATCGAGAAGCGATGCCAATGACGGATTCAAGTTGCGCGATACAGAGGATCGTTAATTGCTGTGCCATAATATCACTTATCGCTCGGGGGTGAATCACTGTTGTCGATGACGTCGATTTATTGCGTTCATTGCCGACTTGGATTCAATTTGATGTTCACATTCATTTGGAACCATAGAAGACCTTATTGTTCAAACATTAGGACGTTCGAAAGCCTTATATAACATCCAAACATTCTCTTGACCTACCAATAGTCCTCTCAAAATACAAATTCCGTATACAATATTCCATGTTCATTCTTTACGAGCTCTCGACTGTCTTGAACCTCCTTGTGTTACAAATGCAATATTTCACGTTTATTCGTTAATATATCTCTTAACGTAGAGCTAGAGCTCTCGACGCATCCCTCCAGTGATCACTCAAGGTACCACTACCCGCTCCAAATGCTTTTGCTTCCTCTGATAGCGAAAAAAGGTAGCAAGAAATAGAAGAGACTAGGCTCTCGATGGAAGTTAAAAATGGCAGGTAACGACGCTTTGTTGGGAGGACTGGCGACTGGGATTTGCATTCGATGGAGACAGGAGTGATGAAAACGCTTAGGTGAATGTGTTTCAGCGCACGTGCGTGGAGAAGAAAGCGATACGAGGGAAGCTCGTGCACGGAATAATCCATGCATTGTCTACGGATAATGTTATTACCGTGTGCAAATAAACGTAACTAATTGTTAAGTGAGAGAGTATAAATAGGCCATAGGTACACGCTTCTGTGTCGATAGTATGTAATCAATGGAAATTATTGTGTGACAGAATTGGTAGCTAAAAACTCGCTAAAATATCATCTAATTTTCAGAAGCATGCAATGCCCACGACAAATCGAACATCATGTATACGAAGCAATTTGTACGACCATGGTCTCTAGCACCTTATTAACGCTACCAGGAAAAAAACACCCGGAAATCGGAATTGCGGGCTCGTACACCCATTATCGCGTTAGACGTCGCGTCGTTTACCATTGTGGGAATCGATTGGAAATGCAGTCTTTACTTAAGTTCTCTGCATATTGTCACGCTTTCGTTCGTCGGTTACACCTTAGTCACTTCCACGAGCAGCGGTGAACGGGAAACCGCAATGAAACAAATTTTCCATTGCAGTCTCAATCTCGTTGTTCAGTTCCGTAGAAATCGATGGGTATCTTACGAGTTCCTCGTTACGGACTCAAACTATCGTAGCCAACCTACCAAACTGGAACATCCAGTACTCAAGAATCATTCGAAACCTTCAATTCGTCGGAAATGAAGAATAAACAAGAGATTATTCGAATATAATTCGAAATAAAATTCATTTGCAGTATTTAAATACTTAAATTACGTTTTTAAATAATCAGTTAAAAATAATGAGAATTAGATCTAAGAATAATGGTAATCGTTTAAAAATGTAATTAATTAAATGAAATCATTATTTAACAATGTAATTTAAAAATTAAAGTACTGAAAACGATCTTTAAACAATTATATAAAAATACAAGTTTCGTTATAAACACAGAAGTCTAATACTTTGATTTTGCAAAAAAATATTGTCTGATTGTAAAGGCGGCTAGAGTCGTGCACCCCTTGCACCCTTAACGTAACTCGTCCCTGAGCGATATATCCGCGATCTTCGACAACGCTGTGCGCGATCATCGCGACCCACACAGCGTAATAAGATTCGACGTGCTTCTAACGAGAAAATACGTCGAATGTAGTTACACGGAATTTTAACGCGTGCCGATTACATCTGAGGAAGATCCTCGTTAGGAACAGTTATCGACCGGTATACATACGGGCGTAATTTATAACCAAATATCCGAAGACTTTATAGATCCTGGAAGTAGTTGGATCGCCGTAGAAAATGTCTGCGGGCATCTCCGACTCTGACTCGTTCCCGCAGTTAGCACAATAATAATTCGCTCGGTAATTAATTCATGGGATCTCGGTATCGTTCAACGTGAAAGATAACGTACGATTAAAGGAACATTCGAAGCTAATAATTACGTATTCGTGGAGTGAAATCGCTAATAAAATTGTATTTTCACGTTTACGTTATGTTTTAGTTAAGACCTCGACAGAAGTCGAGTTTGTTTTGTTTATTTTCTGAGACTTAACGATGCTGCCATCTCACGGTGAAAAATTCAAATGAGGTTGTGGGTAAGTCCACGAAAAAGGGTTTAAATTCTAAACATTGACTTACCATCGTTGGCTCATTTATCATTGTTGGTAACGAGTGGCGTGAGATTGCAACGCCACTAGTGGTTGAAATTAAAACTAAGTATGATGATGATGGTAAGATGGTTGAATTCTTGATTGTTCTGGAAACTCGATTTGACTGAAATGGCTGATCCATGTCGTCTCCATGATCACAATCTTTTCTTTCTTAATGTAACTGTTCCTAAACAGAGAAAAAACGAGATAAAAATTTACAATGCATTCAGATGAAAAAATTCAATGTTAATTGAGACTCACAGGAAAATATATTTAAAGAATGAACATTTGGCCTTCGATTTATAATCAACCCTAGATTAATACAATTAATTTCTGAAAGAGAAACGAATGAAATCTAACTGGTTAACAATGGAGTCGAAGGAAACGTCCTTTTTTGTCAATGTGACTGTACTTTTCAGATACTTTGAAGACGAATAACTTAATATAATTTCTGGATGACATCTATATAGAACGCTAGAGAAAAATTGTCGTCCTCTCTGCTATGTAACTCGAAGTAACACGCAAACGAAAGTAATTCAATTTATAGAAGAATAGCCTTCATTGTCACAGAGTGGAGAACGTAAGAAGAAACCGATATGCTACTCTTTACGATGTTAATGGAATTTACAGCAAAAATGAACTATTACTAGATGAAGGTACAGATTGGGAGTAAACGAGAATAGTTAACGAGAATAATACGACCAATTTAGGTATTAATAAGTTGAAAAATCTCACCTCGTTAATCACGAAATTCTTGTCACGTTCTATGACGCCAATTTTCGTAAAACTGACACAGACTGCACATTGGTCAAATTGAACGATGGTGGGGAGACATCCTACTTCTCGTCGAAATTCGTACTTCCGTGATACAAAATAAATATTATTAAACCTCGTATCTCTAACAACATTGTTGATATATATGACCTAGGTTGCCTCAACAAGAAACTGCATGTATGAAATAAATAAATAATAATATTAGATCAACGTTTATTTCCTTAATAATTTATTATTGTATTATGATTCTCGTGTGATCTCTTCGACCACGGTAGTCAAAGTATCATCTAGTCTATGCGTTCGTCTTCCCTTAAACAATACCAACACCTACAAAATTATTTCATTTATTTTATAGACACCGCCCGAATGATATTTCGTTTTTTTATATTGGCTATCCTCAAGATTCGAATACATAGAGTGGCGTGGCCATCTTTCCGGTTTTGATCGCTCTTTCAGTACGGCAAGATGGCTGATCAGGTACGTGTTCAACGCTGATACTGCCAATATGTACAATTTGTTATGTTTAACTTCATCATTTGCCAAATATCGCTATCAACGTGGTTATTTCTCGCGTAACAAACGATAATGGAAAGAAAGAATCCTTTACTTCAGAATATTATAAAAAGGTTGTAACTCGTATCGTAAACGTTGCACGTGGTTATGCCATTCGCATAGTCGATACTTGTTTGTACTGATGGGACGGCGTGTTTCATCGTTGTATAGTAAAATAAATAGTACGCTAATTAATTTTCTCGTTTTTACAGACCGAGCGTGCGTTTCAAAAACAACCCACGATCTTTCTTAACCGTAAGAAAGGTCTGGGTCCCAAGAGGAGGAAGCCTATGAGATACAGCCGCAATGTCGGTCTTGGATTCAAAACACCTCGCGAAGTAAGTGTTCTATTCATTCAAAAGTAATCAATCTAACGTATTCATCGTTCTGAAAAAATATTTAACTTGCACTTTAATGTCGTCTTTCAGGCTCTCGAAGGAACTTACATTGACAAGAAATGTCCCTTTACTGGTAATATTTCCATCAGAGGCCGTATTCTCACTGGTGTTGTGCAAAAAATGAAAATGCAGCGGACCATCGTCATACGTAGGGATTATCTACATTACATCAGAAAGTATAATCGCTTTGAGAAACGTCATCGTAACATGAGTGTCCATCTAAGTCCTTGCTTCAGGTTAGCATTACAATTATTTTATGCTTTACTACACCAAACACTTAAACTATATGATGAGATTAGACGACGGTCTTCTGAAGAACAAAATGAAGTAGTTTTTACGTCTACTGAACAAAAATTTAAATCCTATGTATTTTCATTAAACAGAGGTACGTCTTTATATTTATTATTGCTACTGGTGATTACAGGGATGTGGAGATCGGTGATGTAGTCACTATAGGAGAATGTAGACCACTCAGTAAAACAGTGAGATTTAATGTTTTGAAGGTCTCCAAAGGTACAGGATCAAAAAAGAGCTTTAAAAAGTTCTAAGTTTATAAAAACTTAACCTATGGTGAGTTTTTCCAAATTTTAAATATACACTTGTAATTATGAATGATGAAACCTACGACGGTCTTCTGAATTTATTAAAATGAATGACATATCGTATTCTGAACATAATTTGTGAATCATTTATACATGTCTATAGCGTAAGAACCTATTCCTATATTTGCATTTTATTTATTACAGGAGAATTTGGTTTTGTAAATTGGAAAAAAAAGGCATGAAACATCAGGTTGACAGAAGTTATGAGAAATATGAATTACCATCTTCATTTGTAACTTATGAAATTTAAAAATAAATAAATAAAAAATATTTGTACTCAAAATCCTTTGACTTAAATGTTTATAACCCCTTCACACTCGTATTATTATATGAATAATAAATAGGTAGTAGAGGGTATAGAACAGCTTAATGTTAAAAAATATATTTTTATAGATTTCAACAAGAAAGTTACTATCAAAAGAATAATTTACAGAACTTCAAAAGGCGCTCGATAAATTGCTTATTGTCAAATTTACACTTTTATACTTAGTCAAAATAATAACAATATTAAAGATATAAAATGTATGATTACATCACAAATAGTATATAGTATTAATATGTTTATGCTTAGTGCTGTTAATAGTAGAAAAAGTGTTTATGAAATCTTATTCTCAAGATTTAAAAAGGAATATATACATCCTTTAAAGCTCCTGTACGAAATTCTCACAGATAGCTCAACTGCCAATGGGCATATCTTTGGCAATCCCTGTTTAATAGAATATATTCACACATGCAATAGCATAAACATTCGCGTCTTTTCTAACTAATACTACTGTGTGAAACAGATAATCACAAAGGCACTTTAACTTATATATCATACTATTTAACATTAGTTTCATTTTGATAAAAACTGAACCTTCTTTACATACTTCTAATTTACGAATATAGTATTTTTAGTTTTTTCAATGAATTCGTATTTAAAGGTAATCTCACTTATTCGAGACAATGTACTCTCCTACAAGGATGAGCAAAATGTATTTAAAAAAATATTCAAATTAAGAATATCTTCTAAGCACTGAATACATATTGCACTTGTACTCAAAAATAACACAACTTTGAATTTCAAAGTCTAGAAATAAGTTGTATAGTTTAATTTTGACTAAAAATATCCTGGGTCATGTATAATGTTACACTATTATTGCAAACCTTGTGAATCTAGCAACATATGTATCATAGTAACAATAACGTATTTTTTAGTTAAAGTATTACTAGTGATTAGTAACTGAGTGACTCTTGGATGAAAATTCGGTTATGTAAAGTATGTATATAATAGGGCCTGCAAAACCTAATAATAATGAAAATCCAAGAAGCTGTGTCCAGGATAACCCACAATCATCTCCAGAGCATTTAAACGTATCTATTAAATGAAAGGTATTCGAAGTGGTTTCTGTTGAAGCAAGTAATTGGTCACATTCTGAGCTAGCAATATCTAATGAATTGTTACTATTATACGATGATAAAGGCTCACACACTGAATTTAATATAATTGTATTAATCTCTGCTGTTGGTAATTCGTTTACAAATGAATTCTTTGCAGAATCTAGTAATGGATCCTTGGTGGTTGTATTTATTGCCTCTTCATCGAGTGATGGTATACTTACTTCACTTCGATCTGCTGGTCCGCTCTGAGTTTGTTCTAAAGTCTCAGTCAGTATAGAGAATGGTTGGATGGGAACTTTTATAATACGCCTAGCATATATTTCGTTCTCTTTATGAATCTTATTAATCCTTTTCAACTCTGATATCGTGCATCTATACCGCAATGCTAAAGCTTGCAAGGTATCCTCTGAATTCAATTGAACATTTATCACTTCCACCTTACGTGGTAATGATTTAACCTTAGTACATGACTGTAGAGGAATGTTATCTTCATTTCCACTGTTCTCATCGTCGGAATATAAAAAGACATAATGCGGGGAACCGTCCCTCTGATTTCCTCGTTGATAAACCATTTGTCTGGAAGAAATTTTAATACACTTTGCAGAATATCATGATGTAACAACTATGAAAAAATATTCAATAATAAAGCAATACAAAGTTTGGTATAAATAATCTTGTGAGTGACACTAAATACGTGACCTATCAAACGTCATTGCTAAGGATAACCACAGCTGTCAATTACCTAGCACTATTTCGTTGTTCGCGAATTTCCTTTATTGTCTATCTCCATTCGCCATCAGCAAACTACATTTAAATTATAAATTACATTTCAAGATGAAAATATTCTCTGTACACTGTGTCGATTTTGAACGTAACGCCACTTCCTTTCACTATCCATATGTATTGGACCTTGCATCAGATACGATTGATAAAGAAGGGTTAGGTTTCCTTCTGTGAAACCACTGAAATACAATAGTGCATCGGCAACATCGATGGTAAGAAAGTTGCGAAAAAAGTTTACATATTAATTACTCTTCAAAATGATGCGATATTCGGAATCAGGCGAAAAATTGAAAGATAAATCGAGATGTGCTGCACTTCGAGCGGACTTGAAAATGTGTTTGTTAGAAAGTGATTGTTGCAAAATTGTGAGTAATTGCGTTACACTTTCGTACCTATTTTAACGTTTACTCATGATGCCATGATGTTTATAAATCTAAAGTGAATAAGATATACAGTGTTTTATCGGTATATGTATACAGATACAGCTTTGAATGAGATTCTTTGATACAATGTACTTCATCACATAAATATTTTATTTCAGCATAAACGTACACCCAGAGAATGTCTTTTAAAAAAAGATGGAACTGTACCAGAGAATTGCTACCTACTGAAACAAACGTTTTTCGAATGCAAACATTCAATTGTAAGTATTATTAAATGTAGGTGTATGAACATGAATGTAAACATTGGTGCTTCAATGTTTCAGATTGATGGAAGAAGAAGATTTAGAGGGCCCAAAGGTTATTAGTATTATATCATACTTCAATTATATTTCGTGTATTCGAAGTTTCTATTAACTTGTAAATAAATTCTCAGCTATACAGCTATGCAATTTCGATAAATTCGTTCTAGCGATAGAAAGGAAGAACTATTTTACGACAAACTTGGGCGTTTTGTTGCTAGATGGAGTGTCACTACCATGTAAATTACCGACATAATTACATATATAAGCTCGATTGCATAATGTAGATGTCTAGGAATGATTTTATAGCTGAATTATAATTATATGTCCTTTAAGACTACTTTTTAGACACTAAACTCTACCTAAGACAATCGAGAAAAAGATCAAATTGGCGGGAAATTTCGTTCTTATTGTACCATCCCTCTTACAAATAAAGTAAAGCAAGTGTCGAAATGCCATTTGCCAGATTACAATGCAACAATACGACGCCAAAAGAATTTCTTATTACGACTGTACACTGCTCCTACGCGCATGCTCTTTACCCACTCTCTTTCTCGCAGTCCGCCATTTTGTGAACATTCCTGTAGTCCACGGTACGAATTGCTGGTTTGGCGCGTTTTTCGTTCGTCGTTTTCTTTTCAATTTATAAACGAATAGTGTCGTTAATACGTGGATTAAGTGTTTCGAAATTTAATCTGTAGATGCTTTCGTTCTGTACACGCGTTTTGCTTGCAATCTAAAGTTAATTATACGCTACTATCGGTATTTGAACGCGCGGCGATATAGAACTTTTAACGCGCATCATGACGATTAAATTTGCGAATATGGCACCGCGTTACGAAAGAGTGGTATTATGTCGCGGGTTGTCGGAAAAGAATGATTCGCAAGAGGCGTACGTAAAAACATTGAAAACTGCCGGTTACGCGTGCAACTATTTACCCACTTTACGTTTCGAGTTTGTGAATTCACCGGATCTGCGAGCATGTCTCCTTTCGCCGTACTCCTATCATGGTACTAACATTTCTAACGTCCGTTTTCGCTCCAGTTTTCTTAATTGTACTTTCACGAATACCTCCTTCATCCACCGTGTATTAATATTATGTTAATAGGACTCATCCTGACAAGTCGACGTGCAGCGGAGGCGATTGTTCTTGCATCCGAAGAGGACGACAGCATTCTACCGCCCTGGAGCAAATTGCCAGTATATTGTGTAGGGCCAGCAACCGAATCTTTTGCCAAAAGTCACTTAAGTTCTGAGCACTGCTTCGGTAAAGAGGCTGGTAATGCCAAAGAGCTAGCCGAACAAATAGTTGCTTCTGTCACGAAAGGGTCAAAGCCTCTGCTATACCCTTGCAGCGAAATTGGTAGAGAAACAATAGAAAAAACTCTTAATGAAAATGACATACAAGTTAGCAAAATAGTCGTTTACAGAACTTTACCTAGTGAAACCTTAGAACAAGATTTGTTGAAATTTATAGATAATTTGCCTAGAATATTTGTTTTCTTTAGTCCTTCTACCGTGGAACATATAGTAGCTTTATTGAAAAAAAAATCGTATGATATGAGTATGATAAAAGCAGTTGCTATAGGACCTGTGACTAGGCAAGCTTTATTCGATGCTGGCTTAGATAGCTTTGCTACAGCGAGCAAGCCTGATCCGGTGTCTTTATTGGAAGCTATTAGCAATGCTGAGAAATATGAAGTTAATGAGACTGTTGTGTGAAGAATTTGGAGAGATGGTGTGAAAGTGGTTTATTGTTGTAAGTATATGAATCTTGTTAATCCATTAAAATATTTAATTCATTGACATCATGACATAAAAGAATATTTATTGCTAATACAATAATTGTTATTACATTTGCTGTATGGTTTCGATGAAGTAAGATATATTTTATGTTAATGTTTTATCATGTTATCCATGTATTTGCCATATTTAACGATTTTCATAGAATTTATATATGTTTTGGTGGCTTGAATTATTCACTGAGCAGATGTACGAAATTTTTATTTTTGTTACAACAATAAATACATTGTAGTTTCTTAAACATACTGATTAAAAAAATAGGATTAACATGTATTTACAATACAGTACTATGTGAATATAACATAAATTATGACATTGTTCACAATATTAATGAATAATTAAGATATGTTCTTCACAACATACTGAAACATTACCCTTCAGAAGTGGTACATTTATACATTGATTGCATAGAATGGAGAATGAACAGTGTGTAGAGTTGTGCGTGTCAGTCTTTGTTATTAATCTCCACAGAATTTCCTAGTACTTTTTGAAAAAGTGTGTGTGAATGATTGTTGGAGAATACTGCATCTTCAAAGCACTTATAATACTCGATACGACTTTCCTTTTTTGCTCGATACAACCTTGTTTGTTAGTATTTATAATACATTAGAAAATTTAATATCTACTTCGATTAACAACGTTACTGAGAAGGCACGAAAGATCTGCGCCAACGATCGTCGATTGATTAGCATAGTAAGGTTGTGGAGGGTTCCCTCCGTTGTTGTATTTCATTTGGACGGCAGTTTCGTAATCAGGTGCGGGTCTATATGACGGAAGTAAGGCACGTAAGTTATTTATGTCCGTGGACGACACGGACACTACAGGGGGATAGGGTGATGTCGAAAGATCATTGTAACTTGTCCATCGCGTGTGTCCCTCCGTGTTCCTGTTATCTAGGTTTACAGATACTGCATGATCTCCTGAATCGTTTGTGTCGCTATCCTAAAATATAAACGTTTTATTCCACTGTTCCTCAAACTTCACCTTCCCGTGAACCAAATTCTACTTACGAAATATCCGTTAGCCGATCGTTCCAATGGACGAAATTCTTGATGTTGCATGTAAAACGTGTGTTGTGCTATACACAAGCGCCAAACATACTTCGCATTGCGCGATTCGTTAAATATAAACTGTTTTGCATCTTCATTCTCAGCTTGACATTCTATTCTAAATGTCTTCTTGTGATTAATTACGTTACTTATGTCTTTCCATCTAGAATATAGATAGTTTTGCATTTAATTTCTAAACAATATTCTAAAATATTATACGAAGTAACTACCTGCAGAATTGCGTTGTTTGTGTGCTTGGATAAACAATCATAATCCCATTGATGGAAATGCCAAGTATTACTTCGTTATTACCATTGTCCTGTAAATAGATAAACGAAAATTGTTAGTTATGTTATGGACATAGATATTAATAATTTACCTTAGTAGAGAATGTTTCATTTCCATAACCCTCTAACTGCATAACAATAGAAATATACAATTCCTCTGATGCAGCTTGGGTAACACCAATCAGATTCTTGTATTGGCATACAGCAGTATGCAAAAGAGAATCTAAACCTCCAGGATCTGCCTGGATAACGTCCTAATGACAAAAATAAAATAAAAACTGAATTAAACAATCTTAGGTTGTCCTTTTTTTTTTATATACATTTTTTCCCTAATTACCTTAGGAAATAATGTACACTGTTGTAAGCATTCCATAGAGTGTCTTTCAGCATCATAATTACCAAACTCTGCTTGCATAGAATAGCTAGCTAAGAGGGTAGCTTGTCTAGAATTACTATGAAATCTTCCTTCCAGTACATCACTTTTCAATTGAAGGTAATAATGATATCTAAACATAAAGTATTTAAGGATTAATTAAAAATAATAACTCAAGAAGAATTCAAACTGTAGTTCAGCAGTACCTTGTCATTTCATCTTGAAGTAGTTGCACATCTGTTACATAGTACATAACTCTCAAATAGAGACTAAAATTTTTTGCCTCTTTTTCGAGCTGTTTCTTTAATGGTTTGTCTACATCTACCCATCTTGCTGGTGGAGAATCATGTCTAGAAATATAACGCAGGCCAAAGAATTCTGGCTGTCCCAATCCTAAACGTTGTGTAACATTGTCCAAGCATTCTTGACCAAGACTGTCGATGCTTAGTGTACATTCTATGGTAGTGGTATCCAATAGCTCCACACAGATCACATATTGATTCTTGGAAACCACGTTATATTGACGACTTTTCTTCAGGTGAAATTTAAACGGCATCTTAATTATACACTTGACTAAAAATTAATATAAAATTACATAGAACTGTTTATCAGGGTCAACTTTTTTTTGTAAACTTTTGTCACTGGCACACGAACTTTATACTAATTAATTTAACGAAGTAGGGTAATGTAGCAATGGTAAAATAACAGTGTAACAATTAACACACTTTAAAACAATAGAGTGAGGCAGTCACAACAATTTATTGTTATGACAATTGTTCGACGAAAATAGATATTGTATCGTTACGAAGAAACCGAAATATTTCACACCCCATGGTACTTTTACTTTTAATTCAAATATATGTACGTACACGAACTATGTTGTACATTCCACTCTGCCGAGCATGAAAAATGTATTATTTTTCCGGATTAACAAATCGAAAGCATTTCTAACCTCGTTTCTCACGTCATTAAATCTAGTTACAAATTTATGGCACACAGTCTTCCCACTGAGGGTTTAATAAAAATTAAAACTAAAATAAACTTGAAAATAATCGTAGTAAATCTTTATACGAGCTAGATTAATTATTAAATATGCCCAAAGAGACCATAGTAGGATTACAAATGCAATTGAAGTCGGTTTTAATGGAATTCCATAAAATTCGGGTATTTTCTTAAATGTTTTCCAACTAGATTTAATAAATTTTCTTCAATTGCATGGAGTTAATCATTGATACTACATTCTAATAAGGTCATTGTCATTTATCTTATATTTCTGTGCTCTGTTTATGTTATTCTGGAATTAAATAGAAGCATCGAATACAATCAAGTGACACTAGATCAAGTGAACAAAATTCCCTAGATACATCAGTATTAACAAAATTCACTGGACGCATTATGTAGAAGGAGTCGCTGATTTTAAGAAAATTGATTGCATACCATTTAATGCAAATTTTGTTATCGTTCCTTATCTTAAACATAACAAATTTAGCGATAAGTACTGTGACATATACACAGTATACTTGTTAGAAATTTTACGTATTCCCTATACGCGCCATTTTGGCAGCACGAAAGAAACACGAAAGAAACCTTGGTATTCAATATAATAAATATATTTCGTAACAATGAATAAATCACGATTTTACTTAATTCAACATATTTCTTAAACAATGCAACGTTCAACATCCTTGCGGATATCTTTTACAAAACATTCACTTATCAATTAAACTAGTCTTCGATCGATACTTGGAATTTTAAATCGAATAAAACTGCGTGGCAGTGGAAGACTGCATTTCTATTTGGCCCATTTTGAACTGCAGTCGGTGCAGCCATCGCAAAAGTGTTGCATTCGATTCACGCCTGGACGAGGCGAAATGCTCCGCCATTTTGTTAGGTGGGAAGTCCCTACAGTTTTGCAGTCGCACCTGCAGATGTCCTTGTAGCTGAGCACAGAAAAATACCTCATTAAAACAACGCAGAGCTCCATTATCATAAATAAATATCAAGAATTGTTCGAACGATGTTTAATTCAAGTTGAACCTAAATATTTTTCACGAAGAAAAAAAGTGATCCAACGAGTCATCGAACCTGGATGTGATGCGAATACAAGATGGGACTCCAAAGTGGGAGCAGTTTGCTCAATAGAATGGACCCACACTCGAGGAGAGCTTCCAGAAGGCTCAAGAAGTGCAAGTTCACCGTGTCAGCCAGCTAGAAGCCCAAGTTTTCCATTAAAAACAAGAATATTCTTCCGCATAGCGAAATACTTGAAACTCTGGAATCCTTACAACTCTGGAGTGTCCAACCAGTTGCAGTATGCAAGGTGTTATCTTGCCCCAGAATTCCAGCAGAATATTCATCGTGATATTATGTCCCTCGCTGTTGGATGGATTGTTATGAGACAGTTCCTCCAGATACATCGTCCACAACTAAACAGACAGGATACTCTATTTGCATAAAAAGACAGTCATAGAGCGAAAATTGTCTCCCAACTATTGTAGAAGTGCAAGTCCACCTGGCAGAGTATGAACGCGTGAAACAAGGAGGACATGTGCAGGACTGACGCCTTGGATTGCTCAGGAAATCCAGAAAATATCACTTGTATGTGGTCTGCGATGTGGCAGGAGGCTTCCTGAGGTATCGGTTGCGCCGTTGGGATCGACGACACGTGGCTCTGCGTGTTGTTGTTGCCAGCGTACATCGCCGTGTGCGTGAGGGAGCCCAACAAAAGCCAGGACAGTAGTCTGATGTGGCCTATGCAGTCAGCATACTCTCGAGCTCTGAATAGAAGTACCAGTCGCTATACTATGATTGAACACTTGTTCGATTAGTTGGAAGAGTACTTACCCTTGCGGTATCATGGAAGGAGTGCTGTTGAGCCATGGAAGATAACGACCCACTGCTCTGTTCTCCCTGTTGTTGCCCCTGGTGATTTCCAGGGCAACGTATTGAGCAAGGCCACACTTTAGTATGCCACCCAAGGTATCCTCGTTCAATCCTGCTTGCATACCCTTGCTGTAGCTCTGAATAATTGAAGAAGATTGTATAATCGACGTATAAACGTGGAAGGAACACACATTAATTTGTCTCAACTCTGATTAAGAAGCATAGAGCGTCGTCATCTCTACCTTCACTTTGCTGAGAGTCTGAAAGTCGGCCAAGAAGTCCAGGACGTCCGCCAACTGGTTCTTCAGGGACTCGGAGGCGTTCGTGTTGTAAATGGGCGACATGTCCGTGTGAATGTTCTCCAAGGCGACCGTGTTGGGCAGCGATCCTCCAATGTCCTAGATATTCAACATTCAAAGAGTCAAAGTATCGTCCTGACCTGTATCGCGCGTGTAACGCACGAATCATTTACCTGGAGCACGAAGTGCAGGAGCAAGAGGAAGTTGGAGTCTGGAATGGTGGTCTTGAACTTGATGGCTTGGATCAGTTCGAACACGATGGTCCTGCCGAAAAAGTGTTTGTCTCTGTCACGAGTGAATCCCCTGTGGCAGAGATAGCACAGGTCTGTCAGGTAGCTGTATCGCATCGTGGAATTTTGGATGGCGTAGCTCAACACCTTGGCGAATGGATCCAGCATTCCCTGCAGGCATGTCCTTCTTACTTAGTCCAGTTTTATAGTCGATCTTAGATCAAGAAATAAAAGAAGCCTTTCGTAACGAAGCGAACCGCGGCCATAAACTTCAAACTAGTCGGAGAACCGCGTCGTAAATCTCTGGCGAACGATGCTGGCCCCTCGTCATCGAAAACACCTGATCATTATTGTTATTACACTGGCTAGGTGGATAAACGACTCACCTTCGCTTGCTGGATCCCTGGAACCTTCAATAAAGAAATCATAATTCTTAACAGCGGTGTGGTGTTCTCGATGGAGGACAGCATCAGCACAAGTCGTCGAAAGAGGCCGTCGAATTGCGCCAGCAGACCGTTCCAGGTTGTTGCTCCTGGACCTAGACCTGCTTCCAGTGGCAGGCAGTCTAGATAGCACGCTATGTTGTATAGGATGATTGGCAGACGTTCCGTTGGCAGAGATTTCTTTGCGTTTAGGGCCTGCAACGAACCAATTTCATCTGTTCAGATTTCGAGATCAATTGAAATTGTTGAGACCAGACCTAACTCTGTGGAACTAACTATAAAGAGTCTAATATTAAAGAAAGCATATTAATATATCTACAGTAGCAGGTTTATAAAGTTTCTTAGATGTGTTAAATTACCTCGAGTACCAGTTGCAAAGGTGCAATTGGATTCAGTTCGTTGAAGTCGACTAGAGCCTGAGCGACGCTCTTGAAGAATTGCATCCTCGTGGATTCTGAAAGAATAACAAGATCAGTGATGTTACATAATGTTTAGGAAGAACGAGGTTCGTAGAACGTACCATTTAAATGTGTTTGGAACATCTGCATGAATACTCCGTTGGGCGCTAATTGATGAAGAACGCAGCGGAGGAACTGGTGGGCCACGCTGATCGCTCCACCTGGGAGGTGCATGTTGGTCTCGCTTTGCCAGGGGTACATCGCGTTTAGAGCCACTCTGTAGAGACATTACAAAATTAAACCATTCTGAAACTCGATCCTGAAAAACCTTCTACATAATACAAGGTTCAACTGACTTTGTGACGACCCTGAGGATCTCTGGCAGAAGAGGCGCCGCCAAGGAAGGCTCGCGATGAACGAACGTACCCAAGTTGATGATGCAAAGACCCAGTTCTTCATCCGAGTACTCTTCTTTTATCGTTCCACACTCCGAACACCTACAACGAATGTTGAAAACAAATCTCCAACTTTACAATCGGAATGTGCAACTATCTACCTCTCATAAATACAATCGTCTCCAATGCGAAACAAGCTCTGCTTCAGGTTGAAATCAGCGTGGTAGGCCTGTTGGGAGGCTGTGTCGAAAGTAGGCTGCAATTGTGGTCCAGACCTGGAAGTCGATGGAAATAGTAGCAGACACTCTTCCTGAATCTTTAAAAAGACTGATGTTTTAAATTTTGTACCAAGATTCAGTGCGCCTCGCGATTGGTGGGTCCTGCGCGTTAATGGCGTTTTTTCGAGGCCTGTCGCGCTGAATGCGTACGTGATCCTTCATCTTGGCCCTGCGGTCGTGATCGAAGATTCGACAGGGGTAATCTATAGGCTCCATTGTTGGAGGTGGGGACTCCAAGGCTACCTGCTTGATCAGTCTTCTTGGACTTGCTGACCTGCTCGAGTGGACATCGTTGGATGTTGGGACCAGAGATGCTGACTGAAATATCAACAGAGAACAGACTTGATTAACTTGGTCTCTACAGAGCTAGAAAATCATATTGGAAGCCACTCAAGTACCAAGTTCTCGGACGTCGTACTGTCCTGCTTCACTGGAGCTGATCCATCAACCTTGACTTCATTGCCGTTCCCATTGCTGAACTTATTGGAATCTGGAATGTTAAATGGGACATTAGTTACTAATGAAGATTCATAATTTCGTTGGCGAATTAACGAGCACCTTCGATTTCCTGGACACCAAGCGCCTGGCGAACGTGTTCCACCAGCCCAGTGAAGTCCCTGTGAGGCCCAACTGGTAGCAGTCGTTCAGGCATGGGGAACTCCAACTGAGATATGCTTCTGGGATTGGTGATGTCACTGGACATGCAGGTCTCGCTGTCTTGGTCGAACGAGGAACCTGGAAAACGCGACGTTTGGTAGATTAAGATTCTTTTATTGGATCAACTATGAGCGCTACTCACTGACTGTCAAGACGTCCATCTTCGATAGAGGTGACTCTGGGGACCCATAGGTGTCTTCGCAGCGCAGGATGCGCTGAGTAGGTCGTGGACCTGCGAAATCAATGTATTTACATTGTTTATCACAAAGTAGTGAATAAGTGAACTGAATACTTCATACCAAAGTCATGATTCTCAACAAGTTCATGAAGCCTTCAAGCTTCCTACAGTTTCTAAAACCTCCATCCTGAAGTGTTTACCTGATGGTCGAGCCGTAGTGCCAATAGGAAGCAGACGCTCAACAGTGGGCGTCGACAAGGGATGAGGACCGTCGTCCCATCCAGGATGCTGACCATTCTCCGTGCTCGTCACTTGGGACGAGATGGAACTGACTGCTGGGGAACTGGACTGGTCGCTGCTGGTCACCGTGACTATTTGACCTGGCGACACCGGCGACGCTACCGTCACAGGATGTTCTATCCTCCTCTGCCTACCCAGCTGCTTTGAATTGGGCGAGTCTGAATTACTAGATGCTGTAGTTGGCACCTTCTCTTTCGGTGACTCGTGTCTGCAACATCTCCAATTGAGTATCACAGGCCTTCGAGAACATCTCGAGCACGTAATTTCATTCGTGAGATTTCACCTTTGAGCCTGAGATATCCCAGTAGCTATAGCAAAGGCGTCTGACAACGCAAATGGTTTGGACGATGCAGCATCCCCGTTGAAAGCTACTTGAACAAT